ACAAAAAAATGTAGCTTTACTTACATAAACTTATATTATTGATTCTCTCTCTTTCTACATATACATATATATATATATATATATATGATTAAAGTAAAATTTAGTGAAGTTCCTCTCAAGCAATACCTAAATGTCAAAAACTTTTTGCTCTACCAATTGAATTATCAAATTTCATAATGATTATACTGCTTACAATTTAAGCATATTTCAAGACCACAAAATTGATAGAAATATTGAAATTACAATCTACTAGTTATTATTTTTTGTTTCTGTGGATGTATACTCTTCTTTTCTACTACTTGATTTTCTTGTAGCCACAAGTAATCTCCTTTCTCGTAAAATAGCCCACTCCTTCTTATTTATTAATATATCCTAATAAGTATATTTAGCTTGGGTTGAGTCATTTGCATTTATTATTCTTAAAACCATAAGCTAAAACATCATGTTGTGGGCAAGCAAAAGGAGGTCAAGATTATAGCTTGAAAGAGACTTGAATTCTACATCATGAGACCAACAGTAAAATTCCAATACAGAATTTATCAAAGAATATGACTTGCTAGAAGCAAAAAAAATGGAAGGCATAGCCTAATTTGTGAAGAATATCAAATATAGGGTTTCAAACATGGCATTTTTGCAAAAACAAATAATTGGGATTCAGTACTTGATATTTCAAATCCAAAATATCATTGTTTAAACTTTATTACCCCATAGTATAGAGTCAAAGAAGGAAGAGAGCTGAGATAAGCAATGCAGTTTTTGATATTTGACCTACCCCTCATTTGATATTTTGATTTCAAAATCACCCATCTCACAAGGTGGATGATTTGGTGAAATATCAAATAATATTTGTGTTGAGTATTGGTTCACCATTGTTATCCCTATTACAGGGTTTCAAACATGGCCTTTTTGAATGATATTTCACCCATGATGCAAGCTCAAAGTATCCCGTGATATTTCAAGATATTATTTGATATTTCAAAATTGCCAGTGATAAATTACCAAGTGAATGCAAGACTAGAGTGATATTTCACCCTTGATGAAACCCTCTAGCCTTGCATTCACTTGGTAATTTACCATTGGCAATTTTCTGATGTTTGGTGGAATTGAACCCTCTTTAACTAGGAGCTTCAATCACTAATTTTCTTTTTATTATTTGCCCAACTTAGTTGTCTTGTTTGATGCCCAAATATTGCAAGGCAAAGGAGACACAACCCCACTGTGTAGCAGCCCTCTGAAACTTTACTTTTCAATAGTAAAAATTCAAACATTGTGGTAATGTGACATGGCATTAAATTTACAGGAAAGGATCCATTGAGCAATCCCCCCCCCCATTGAAGAATTTGGAGATCCAAACGAGATATAAATATCCATCAGAATGATTCCTGTGAATAGCTGGCCTATCACCGCACCGTGAAAATGCAGAATCCTTGTAGTGAACACAAAGAATCTCATCCCTCTATGGGACAAAGACTCGGAAGGATGCAATTACCAAGGCTCATCTAAAATATGGTAGATTCATCCACCATTTGCAGAGCACCAAACCTTCATGAAGGACAAATTGGCTGTGGACCTCACAAGCTCCACACCCACAGTTCATGGCTGGAATCAATGCACAGGCACGGTTACTGGGGGCCACACTGGCAATACCCATTCAAGTTTAGCTGGAAAATCTTAAACGATTCCAGAACATGAGGAAGTCCTTCTAGGTCTGGAAACCTCAACCAGAGTGAGTTTAGAACCAGCCTCTGCCTAGACGAGAAGGGGCTCCCTCCAGCCTGTCATCATTTTCCTCACTTCCCAAAAATCTTAGGCAACACAAAAAGAAAGAAAGAAATAATAATAAATAGCATGCATGGCAATGGCATGGGGAAGCAATGTAGCAGAAGGTATTGAAGTGCAAGGTTGACAACCCATCTTAAGAAACTCATGTTTGAGCATGGATTTTCTTGCTTTCATTTGTTATATTTTTATATAATTTATTCTTAAAAAATCATTTAAATAAAAAATACTAAAATAATATTTATATCAATTATCAAATCTATCCAAAAAATCTCCTAAAATTTGGAGCATGTAGATAAGGTGTACACGCTCAATGCTAAAGCACATGTCATGGATTCCACATCCTAATAAATAACAAAATTACAAAAGAACACCTAGAAGAAATTAGGATAGATGTCTAAAATAAGATCAGTAAGTGGTCTAAAGTCAAGAATTGCTTGATTGATCTAATGAAATTATTGGTGTATGCTCATAATTCTTTAGGAAGAAATCAAACTTATATGGAAATTCCAACTATTCAACTTCTTGGTCATTATGTAACAGAATTTGAACTATGAACCCATCAACTACATCTTTATGTCAACTTACAATCAAGCTTGAGCAGCTAGTATATTAATCAGTTCTCAATGCAATTACCTTGTGAAGCTATATTTGTCAAGAATACATGGATATTCTTCATATTTTGGTAGACTTCAGGGATATTTATGATATTTTTCCTTAAATGAAATGAAGATTTGTATTTTCCTGCAGTGACATTTCTTGTGTTGTTTACAACATGATGTTTTTCCATCAATTTCTGACTGTACAAAGGATTGAATAAATAATTAACTAGACTAATTTTAAAAACTTCTTTTGGTTTCAAATACACTCAACAATGCATATCTTCTTTCATTTTACTATCTGCCACATCATGCATGACAGAATATTTTCAACACACTAAAACGGGTTACTTTGGAAAATTCCCTCTTCTTAGGTATAATTCTTATTCTATCTCAAGCATGGATTATGTTAGTGGATTTTTTTGGATTTGCTGTGTCAGACAAATATGCTCTTTTGTTGCAACTTCTAGAAGACAATGATCAACCTCATCTTGTCAATTTAGATCTGGAGTTGCTATGCACATACAAAATTCCATCATGAGGACAAGTTTTTTGAGAGTAATATTTTTCCTCAAATATTGAATCAAAATTTTGATTGATCATAATAAGTAAGAAGATAAATGAGACTTTGAGGTGACAACTAAAGCATTGTGGTACATTAACTATAAAGTGTTATGAATGATGCATTAATATTGCAGCAATTGTTACAATATTCCATTACTAAAAGTTTTAATATTTTATTATTCTTATGTGATTATTTTATATAATTGTAATAGATTTTTTAAAAATACAATAATCTTTGGTATATTAAATCATTACACATAAATACAGCATGGCTTTAAATTATTAATTTTTTGTATTTGATAAGCCAAAATTATAATTTTGGTTGTTTACAAGAGGAGTTTTCAAACTCATATTGCAACATCGATAATCTATTATCTTATAGTATTTTAGTTCTTCTTTACCTTTTAAGTTGAATATTTCCAAGCACATTGTACCAAAATCCACTGATAATTTCCTGTTTCATGAAAGTCAAAAATCTTCTGTATGGAGACAAACTCTGCAAAATTGATAAGTCCAGATTGTAACTATTTTTTCTTACAAATACATTGCTTTTATCAACTAAAGGTTTTTGAAATTTGGAATTACAAACCCTGTTTGTGAAAATTTAATTCCCACCACTGATACCATGATTTTTTTACACACAAATCTATTAACTTTCCAAAAACATCTGTGCAGTAGCAAATTGAGAATAATTGGAAAAAACTCCCCATCATTTCATCTACAAAAGAGGAATTTTGTTAATGTTATTTATTTGAATATTATATTCATAAATAATAATATACAACTTACAATTAGACTACCGTTTCATGTATGAGTGTCATACTGATTTTTTTTTAATATTACTGCCACGTCAGTATTCTAATATCATGAATTTCCCTGTACTATCATTATTCTTAACCTCATATCACACAATAATATTTGTTCATTATCAATTTATTAATGGATTTTTTATCAAACATGCGTAGAGGTCTTAGCCTCACTTTCATCCATCCACCAATAAGCAGCAATGAAGAGTCCAACTAGAACTCCACATTTAGCCTCAAACCGTCGATCTATCCTAGTCGAGATTCTGCCACATGGCTCAAACACGAGGGATTTTGTCTTTTGTGGGGCTGTTCTATTCAGGCGGTCATCGGTGGCTTTGGTGCTACTCCCAAGGAAAGACGATAATAGAAGTGACCCCCACCCCCACGCTCTAGTTTATTTAGTACGAGTTGGGGGACCCTTGACCGCTTCTCTCGAACACCACCGTCAATGTTCCCATTTTCGGGAACGTGCAGCCAATCCATCGTTCTCCTGTCATTTGTGGCGTATTACACTCGTCTTTGTAGAGATTTGGGTGTGCTCATCATCTTCATTGAGAAAAAACGAAAGTAGTTGCAAATAATTCGTTGATTTCTTCGAAAACTAATGGCACTTCTATTCTAGGTATACGTACAGAAAAAAAAACAGAGCAAAGATCATACATGTTGTGGTGTAATCCAAGGCATTTATTTTTATGTACACCCACAAAGTTTTCACTTGAATTTTATTACAAGATGTTTGTGTTGGTAACATTTTTAGAATAGATTTGGGTAAACACTACAATGAGCTCAACACCCAACTAGAAACCGGGACTATTAAAAGAGGTACATGGTGGGCAAAGAGTCGCTAAGCAAGATTACGATGAGATAAGCACCTCATTTTAGTAAACATGGCATGTGCTCGTGCGAATGAACGTGTATTAAATCCATTATCGTTATGGGTATTATGGGTTTGAGTCTTTCAACAATCCTATTCTACATCATTCAGACGTACGGGAACAGAACAGCTTGTCAACTTCATCACACTGAATCTCAGAGGTAGACTGTGGGTGATGCATTTTTCAAGAGGCTTCCAACAAGCCCGTAGGGCAAGGTATTTGGTTGACATGGCAAAGCAACTAACATTATAAACAATTGATTAATTGGATGATAAAGTTAAGGTAGCAAAAGATGGTTCTAAGCTGAGTCGATCCGAGCCAAGCTGAGCTGATGAGCTGGAGGCCCCTAGAAGAGCCCAGGCCTGCAGGATCTTCTCCGGCGATGAAGAAATATGCTTCCAGTTGTGAGGTTTGTAGCGTTATCGCAGCAGCTTAAACGCCGTTTCCTTCGCTCTGACAGTGTTTTGTGTTCCAGAAGTCGCTTGCAAGTCGCTTCGGAGCCTCCGCAAACGTGTTTTGTCAGGGAAGGGAGTGTTGTCTACGTCATGGTGAGGGATCGACTGGTGGTGTTGCTCGATTTCAGGCTAACTGAAATTTCTTGTCGCTGCTCCAACTGCCAGATACAATCGTCTAAATTGTGCCTGGTAATCTTCGCGGGAGAGCTAGAAACCAGGTCCTCTCGGACAGGGTCACCTGAGGCACATGGCGATTTTCACGCCGCGTGCATCGATCGTCGATCCTCTCATGCTGATGTTATTGCCGGTGCCCTCTCCGTGATCGTGTCACACCTGCATGAATCGAGACGGGGAATCTAGTTACCAGTCATGCAAGTCTTCAGATCGTTTCGCCGAGTGAGCATTCGGTTGAAACCAGCACCGTGGGAACAGCCAGAAAGGTTGGATTTGTTTAGTTCGGGGCATTGTTTCCAAAGACTTGAGCGATGTGTATAAAGTTGGGGTGCGTTGCAGGAGTGGGGATGAACGAGGTTAGATGAAGCCAGGACATTGCTTCTCTAGAATAACACTGCTGCACAAATCCGGGTTTCGATACACACGACAGGTGATGCTGGTTGTTGGTGTTTTCGATGCATTTACAACCACATTGAACCTGCTTCGTTGTAGTATGTTTGTCTTCCGTCACCTTCTACGGATGTTACACTCTTCGTGGTAAGAATCTGATCGAAGTCATGAAGAAGTGATCCAGGATGACAAGAGGCTTAAAAGTATGAAGAAGGAGGAGAACAAGTATGGTGTGCAAACAGTTTCCTGGACTTCAATAGGTACCAACTGGGAATGCCTCTATGATAGCTGAGGCGCTCAAGCTCGCATCCTGGTCTCTGATGATGCTTGAGGGGCAAGTTTCAGTCTTCTTCAATCTTCTTGTAGCTACTGAACTCTTGGACTCTGGAATATTTATTTATTTATTTATTAATGTAGTATCAATTCATGGTGTGCAACAGCTTCTGGACAAGAGCAATGTTATCATCTGCAATGACTCTATTCAGACGCTCTCTAACCACTATTTCATTCTTTTTCTGGTAAGCTATTTCTTCTAATCTAGCTATTTTTTATTTGGTTCTCATGTGTGTATATATGTATATATGTTAATATATATATATATATATATATATATATATGATTATAACAGCATAAAAAGTTTATGTGGGCACAAAAAGTTAAATTTAAATCAAATAATATAAAATTTTAAAAATCTAAAAATAATTTAACTTATTTAAGAAAATATTTTAAAAGAAGGTTATATGATTTAATTATTAATTTATAAAAATATATAACCTTATATTTGAAATAATAAAATTCTCAATGATTTTTTGAATTTAAATAATTTCAATAAGTTATCTAAAGTTAATATGCTTTCATAAGTACTTATGAATACATATATAACTATCTATCTATTTGTATGAATGTAAATATAATAAATAGATGTTTAATTGAATTAATATCAATTTTTATTATATTTTTGTTTATAACATTTTCTTGATTAATTTATGTTTATTAAGATGTGATAAATAAGCTTGAAACAAATTAGAAGTAATTTAGGAGTAAATTTAATTTAATTTCAATCTAAAATCTCATACTTTTAATCTTCTTGAGTATTACAAATTTTTATGGATGAAAGTATACATGCAGACAATTCTTATTAGAAAATGTATTTTAAAAACAATAGTCAATTGTTTTGGTCAAAAATAAAACTTCTAACACTCATTTGATGGCCATCAAATATAATCATAAGTTTTGGCTCTTAAATCAAGGCTATAGATCTTAGCAGTTCATAAACGGAGATGTATCAAGGACATGAATTTCAAAGAAAGAAATCATTAAAACACTCTTGTGGCACTCTTTTTATCTATTTTTACCTACTTCTTTTTAATTATATAAGTATTTATTAGAGTACATATGTATATCCATGATATTATCCCTTCTTTTAGGAATAAGTTCTATGACGAGCGGTCATCATGTATTGATAAAATCCAAGATGCCGTAAATTATATTTGCTACATATTCTGATCTTTGTTCTCTTCGAAGATGGTTGATAGGTCCCATACCATGGTGAGAAGACCACCCTATTATTTGATCATTATTGATGCCTTTATAACTTCTTTCAAATATAACATTTGCAACATCATCATGAGTTGTTCCTATTTTTAATAAAATCACCAAATATCCAAAGTCTCTTCTAAGGTTGTGATATCAAACATGTTGTAACTTGCTATCTATTCAAGAATACACATGTTGTTCTTGAGGATTTTCATCTCAATTATATTATCTTGAAGATTGTAATAATCGTAATGTCTTGTTTGGTAAGTTAATAAATAAAAGCTCATGGGTTAAATCTATGGGTTGTTGGTTCTCTATCTTTTTAGCATCACAAATACTTAGAAGCTATAAAAAATGATAGAAAGTAGAATGATATCTTCTTTGGATCTTGTTTCTTTTATAGCAAAGATTTGCTATTCTTCATCTTAGTTTTGATAGATATCATCAATGAAAAGCCTCAACTCTCTTTGTTACATTTATAAGATTCTTTGTTAATTCCCTTATATGTTCACTAATATCATATCTATGCCAATAAATAAGATATTCCAACCTATTTTGGTACTATCTTAAATCTAAAATTACTTCTATTTTGAACACTTGATCATTATTCGTTTCTATAAGAAGAAGTGGCATTTAACTTCTTTCCAAGATATTCAGTTTCTTATATGGCTCAAAAAGAGATATGTAAAATATAAAGTGGATCTTCATAGACTCTGGTAGATGTAATTGATAAGCAATAGGATTGATTTATTGACTTATAGGAAATGATCCAAGCTTACAATAGTCCAACTTAGCACAAGGATGAGTAGTCTTGATATTGCAATAAAGTAATCATATCTTGTCACCCATATTGAATTGAAGTTGTTCCTTACAATAGGCATCTATATTAATCTTTTGTTGTTCTTGAGCTCTCTATAACTATGCCTTCATTGTTGCATGTAGCTCTAACAAATAATTTGCCAAATCTTCTGTTATAAGATTATCCACTTTTAAAAATTTAAAAGTATCAAGTCATAAATAATAACTATAATTAAAAAAGAAAGTTATTTGTTAAGTAGAAGAATGAACTAAATTATTATATGCAAAATTTATCAATAGTAAATAGGTTATTCAATCATTTTGATGATAATTGATGGTACATCTTAAGCATTGTTTCAAAATTTGATTCACCTATTCCATTTCTCTATCAATTTGAGGATGAAAAGATAAAGAGAGCTTTATATCTACTTTTAAAATCTTAAAAAGGATTCTCCATAATCTTGGTATAAATTGAATTCCTCTATTTGATATAATATTTTTAGGCAATCTATAATAGCAATAGATAATCCTAAAAAAAAAATTTAGTTATTTTTTTTACTTGTGATAGATTTTATATATGATATAAAATATTCCATCTTGACAAAATAATCTATTACTACAAATATAGAATCATATGAACTTGAGACTAAAAGATTTGTGATAAAATCTATAGAAATAGAAGACCATGGTTGTTGTGGAATAGGTAATGGCTGATTAAAATCTATAAGGTCAATGATGAGGAGTTTTGGATCTTAAACAAATATCATATGATTGTATAAAGTCTTTGATTACCTTTTATATTTGAAGCCACCAAAAATCTCTTGATATTAACTCCAAAGTCTTATTGTATCCAAAATATCTAATTGCTGAAAAGTCATGACAAGTTTGAAGAACATATAATTATGGATCATCTTTTGGAATGTATAATTGTCCTTGAAAATAGAATAGATTGTTCTTGAATTCAAACTTCAAAGTATTATGAGATTTAGAAGAAATATTCTTAATATCATGGACAAGAAGATCAAATGACATATTTGATTGAATTTACTTGACAAATGTTGAATCAATAGTCAATGTTGATTTTATTGCTAAAAGGTGAAAATGCTTTGGCTTTAAGAATTTTTTTCTTTGTTGATCAAAAGATTCATTTTTATTTTTTTTGCAAGATAAAAACATCTAAAAAGAACATTCAAGAAATCTTCATGTTTTTTGGATCAATAAGTGATCTTGAAATCAAATCTTGATAAAGACATATTCTAACAAGCTTAGCAAGAATTCAAAACATGTGCTGACATGAAATATTCAAGATTCTTATGATCTCTATATACGATGATTAGACTCAAGGCACCTTCTAGATAATAATGCCACTCTTCAAATGAATCCATGATTGCAAGGAGTTCATTGCCGTGGATCTCATAATTAATCTTAACTGTTCAAAATTTTCTAAAATGAAAAGCTATTGGATGGAGTATGTCATCTACTCTCAGTTGTAACAATACTCTACTAAAGGCAAAGTTTGATGCATCTATTTCTATAAAAAATGCCTTAGAGAAGTCAACACAATATAAGATTGATATAGAAATAAGCTTCTTTTTTAAAACATCAAATAATACTTTGCCTTTTTTTATTCCACTCAAATTTGTATTTATGAGTCAAATGTATAAGTAGAATTCTAACTTGAGAAAAATTCTTGACAAAGATTTCATAGTAATTGGCAAAACTCAAAAAACATTGAACATCTTTTATTATTCTTAAAATCTTCTAATCTATGATAGTTAAGATCTTTTTTGAATTCATCATTTGTCCTTCATTGGAAATGATGTATCCTAGGAAATCAACTAAAGTAGTGTAAAATATACACTTTTTCAATTTGGCATATAATCTTGTATCTTTAAGCTTTTGTAACTTATGAAAAATATGAACTTCACGCTCTTTTATGCTCTTAGAGTAGACTAAGATGTCTTCCAAATAATAGACAATAAAATCATTAAAAAACTCACAAAAGATATCATTTATTAGATATTGCAAAGTACTTGGTACATTTGTGAATCCAAAAGCCATGATATTATATTCAAAATATCCATACCTGGTTCAAAATTTATTTTTTCATTCATCTCCTTCTTTAATGCATACTAGATTATGTGTTCCTCGTAGATCTATTTTTCTATAGATCTTTGCTTGATTTAATTGATCTAAAAGTCTTAAAATTAAAGATAGAGGATATTTATTTTTGATGATGATCTTGTTGAGTCCTTGATAGTCCACACACATTTGAAGAGATTTATCTTTTTTCTTCACAAATAAGATAGGATCTTTGACTAGAAATTTAAAATGGTGTATGAAAGTTTTAATGAAGTTCTCATCAATGTACTCTTTGAGTACAACCAACTTGTTTTATGACATGCTATAGATTGGTCCAAATGGTGGTTGAGTTTGTTTGTAAAGATTGATAGAATAATCATAAGGATAATGCTCTAGAAGAATATTTGTATTCTTTTTTTCAAAAATATCCTAAAAATCTTAATATTAGCTAAGAATATTACTTGACATCTTTTACCATAAAAAATAGGTGTGGCATAGAAAGCAAAAGGTAATCTTTTTTTTTTATGGCATGTATGAAAGCAATTGCATATACTAGTGAAGATTTGGATGTACTAGACTTATATATTTTTACTTGATTAAAAGAATTTTGGATTAAAATTTGAAAAAAATTAAGGTTACAAGAAATCCAATTTATATGAAGATTATATATTTTTAATCAAGATAATTTTAAAATAATCAAATTAGATAGAGATCTTATTATATTAAATATTATTATGCTATTATGATCTTTAATTGCTACATCTAAAGGAATAATCTCATATTTAACATCTTTAGAAGATAAAAAATGACAATCTATAACTTCTACATGTATAGGTTTAATTTTCTTGACTAATGATATTTCTTGTTTTTTGATAAAATCTTCATCTATAAAATAAGTTGAGGCTCTTGAATCTAATAAAGCTAAGACTTTGTGATTATTTAGTCTTAAATAAACTTCTATTATAATTTAATGTAAAAGATCTATGGAGAAAATAAGATCTTTATTAAAAATTATGTAAGATTCTAGTCGCATGGTTCCTATTGTAGTTTGAGAAATTTATTTTTTGACACATTGTCTTCTTTGGCAACCATGCTTCTCATTTTATAGTTGCATTGTTTTTTTGGATAATGTTGAGCATTGTGTTTAGCTTCTTTATAATTTAAGCATAAGCCCTCATAACATGTCAAGGACAAGAACTCGATGAAAAAGCAATTGAGACAAGTGA